CACACACCGACAGCGGTGTCAGCCAAGGCGCCATCCAGCTCGTCGGGAGCAGCTGGGGTTAGGTGTCTTGCTCATGGACACCTTGACACTTGGTATGTCGAGAGTATGTGAGTATGTCGAAGCAATAATTAAGCCCTGGCCGTATTCAAGTTCAAGTTCATTTTATTTATATAGCACATTTTATAGCAGCCAATGACTGACCAAAGTGCTTTACAGAACCAAAAAAGATTAAAAGACATTAACACCATGCATAGCAGCACATCATAGAACAGTACAGCAAAGGTAAGAACAGCTTAGAACAGGAGAAGCCCAAGCAATCTCAGAGTTATCAACAATAAAATCTATATATATACATACATATACATGTACACGCACGCACACACATACATATATATGTACATACATATACATACACAAACAACCTTATTTATAGGCCAAAGAAAACAAGTGCGTTTTTAAAAGTGACTTAAAAGAGATCACAGAAGGGGCTATCCTAACGTCTATGGGCAAATTGTTCCACAGCCGAGGCCCGACCACAGAAAAAGCTCGATCCCCTCTGCGTTTTAGTCTACAGTGAGGGACTTGTAACAGATTTTGTTCGCCTGATCTCAGACTTCTCGATGGAGTATAAGATTGTAGCAGTTCAGTTAGGTAGCTAGGTGCTTGGTTGCATAGAGCTTTGTAAACAAACAACAGGATTTTAAACTCAATTCTGAAATTAACAGGCAACCATGAAGAGACCTCAGAATTGGGGTGATATGATCACTTTTACGACAATTAGTGAGGAATCTTGCGGCGGCATTTTGCACCAATTGCAAACGAGCAGTTTGAGTTTTCGATATACCGTAGTAAAGTGAATTGCAGTAATCTACACGTGTGTTGATAAAAGCATGAACAGCCATCTCAAGAGTTTTATGATTAAGAAAAGGTTTGACTTTTGACAAGAGACGCAGGTGATAAAAACTAGAGCTTATTACAGAGGAGATTTGTTTATCAAAGTTTAAAGACTCATCCAGTAGAACGCCCAGGTTCCGCACAGTTGAAGATCTAAACGCCGCTAGTCTGCCTAGGTCAAAGGTGGCAGCCTGAGGATTAACAGTGGACCCGAAAACAATGATCTCTGTTTTGTTTTCATTTAAAAACAAAAAAATTTGGTCCAGCCAAAATTTTACTTCATCTAGACAACTTAAAAATGATGAGAGGGCAGAGGGATCATTTCTCTTGATTGGGACGTACATTTGGGTGTCGTCTGCTTAACAATGAAAAGATACCCCATGTCTTCTTAAAATGGTGCCCAGTGGTAACATGTAAAGAGAAAAGAGAGAAGGCGATAAGATAGATCCTTGCGGGAGGCCACAGGTGAGATGCGCAACAGACGAAGAGCAATTTCCTAGCTTCACTCTGAAAGTACGACCCGAGAGATAAGACTGGAACCACTGGAGGACGATACCTTTTAGCCCCACATCACATTCTAGTCTGGATATCAGGATCGAGTGGTCGATCGTAGCAAAAGCTGCCGACAGGTCCAGAAGAACAAGAGCCACAGAGTCACCAGTGTCAGTGGAACGATAGATGTCATTTAAAAATCTCAGCAGAGCAGATTCAGTACTGTGAGCAGACTTAAAACCAGACTGAAATTTTTCAGAGATATTATTGCATTTTAGAAAGAGCTGGAGTTGGTCAAGAACAACTTTTTCTAACACCTTGGAGACAAAAGGCAAAACAGAGATAGGACGAAAGTTATTTAACACGGTAGGATCTAGTGAGGGCTTCTTGAGTAACGGGGTGACAGTGGCCTCCTTAAGGGCAGCTGGGATAGAGCCGGTAAGGAGGCACTTGTTAACAAAGGAAACCAATCCTGGCCCTACTGAATCAATAATTAATTTAAGAAACTTAGGAGAGATGATGTCTAAAGAGCAGTACGAAGGTTTCATCTTTGTGATAATTTCTTTGAGGAGATTCAGAGTGATTGGCTCAAAAGCATCCCAGGTAACAGAACTCATCAACTGACTAGATGCAGAGCGGCTGGCATTGCATCTCAGGTTAGATATTTTGTCAATAAAAAATCTCAAGAAACGTTCACATAGCTCATCCGAAACATCATTCATTACATTTACCGGTGGATTTAAAACAGAGTTTATAACAGAAAATAAAACCTTTGGTCTAGAGTGGTTTGCCATAATCATGTCAGAGAAGTGTGCAGCTTTTGCCCCCTTTACAGCATTCTGGTAGGACGACAGACTGTCTTTAAATAACTGAAGTGAAATATGTAGCTTGTCCTTCTTCCATTTGCGCTCAGCCTTTCTGCTGGCTTGTCTTAGTTGCCGAATATCCGCGTTGAGCCATGGTTCAGATTTAGGTTTAGGTTTGAAGGGGTTAAGCGGAGCAGTTTCATTAAGGGCATTTAACCAAGAGGAGTATAACAGACCGAGATGTTGGTTGGCATCTAATTCCAATAGTGGAGAGTCCAGAAGCAAGTGTGGGGAATTCATAAAGTGCTCGTTAAAATTTGAGCCAAAATGAGGAGAGTATGATCTAGACAATCTTACATCTGTACTGGTGGTTTGCGCAATACAAGGAAGAGATGTGGAAAATAATATTGGCTTATGGTCTGAAAGCATAAAATCAGATATCACAACATCACTAATCACCATCCTATATGAAAGCACAAGGTCCAAAGTGTGACCCTTGATGTGAGTGGAATCATTTATCCACTGGACTAAGTTAAAAGACTCAGTGAGGCTGAGAAACTCCTTTGACAGAGTGTTAGATTGACAACAAACATGGATATTAAAATCACCCACCAATAGGAAACGGTCATAAGTTGTGGAGATATTACCGATGAATTCTGTAAATGAATTCTTTACATAATTAGCACCACTGAATAAATTATCCTTTCATCTTCCTAACAAGCTGACCATTATACCCGCATTCCTCTAAAACGCACTGGAAAAGTGCTCAGAAGACTGAATATAAACATTCCCTGCTAAGATTTGCATAGAGAATGCATGCATAACTTTGTGTGTCTGGCGAGGGTGTTTACATCCCCTGGCTGTGCAGATCTTACAGAGACAATTTTGTTAAGGTAATTGTTCAGATTAATGTGAAATTATTTTTGAAATACTGCAAATGAGTTTCCAACAGCCTACACTCCAAAATTCAGAGGAGTTCTATAAAACTGATTTGTTTTGTTTACCCACAGTGCTCGCACAATTAATTCAATTCAATTCAATTCACATTTATTTGTATAGCGCTTTTCACAATACATTAATTCGTAATTAGTTAGCAGAGGTGACTGTCAAAGTAATTTTGCATATGTCCAAAATGTACATCATGCACAAATCATGCAGTTAGCTAACATCATTAATTTATGCAGAATTACCAAAGCGGAATTTATCCAAAGCGACTTACAATTGCTATATATGTCAGAGGTTGCAGGCCTCTTGAGCAACTGGGTGTTAAGTGTCTTGCTCAGGGACAGAATGGTGTTTCACAGTGGATTCGAACCCGGGTCTCTCACACCAAAGGCATGTGTCTTATCCACTGCGCCATCAACACAACCAAATAATGATATCATTAAAACAATTAGTACAAGGGTGATCAAAATGGTTATAATATAAATTTGATAGTGGTTTAGAGGAAAATGACAGGTTATCCAATATCTTATATCTTTAACACTCTCATCTTATGTAACACAGTCTCATCCCAAGAAGTCATATAACTGACGTCTTGGGACGTCTTTTGACCAAACGTCAACATCCGCCCTTTTTAGGGTACCCTTAAAGGGACTCTGTGTAGGATCTACCCCCATCTAGTGGTTAAATATTATTTTGCATTCAAACGAATTTTGCTCTCCAGCGCCTCGCTTTTTCAAGTGCGTATTGCATCTACGGTTGCCGTTATGTACCAAAATGCTATGACAGGATGTCTTGTAGTAACACTTCATCGAGTTTTTTCTCCGGGTGAACAGGTTTGTAATTTAAAAAAAACAGCAACTTGACACAACGAACAAACGAATGTTACAGTATGAGTTTCTGACACTGAAAAACATGAACTGTTGTAATTAGTAGTAATGCCGCCTATATTCGTTATATTTTCTGAATTACCTGATTGTTAGATATCATCATCGGATGATTCAGCAGTAGGGAGAGGAAGAGGTAGAGGTAGAGGTAGAGGGAGAGGACAGAGAGGCAGTGGATCAGTGGGATCTAACGTCAGGCGAGATGGACGACGAGGAGCGCGAGAGTCAACACAACGACGACAAAGATACCCGGCAACTACAAGAGACGATCAAAGTAGAATTGAAAGTTTTCAAAGGCAGCGAAGAGAAACGACCGAGGTTTGTACAATTTATGTGTCTAGCTGTAAAAATTAATTTTAATTCTCTGTACAATCTTATCCACATAGCAAAATCATAACTTTAGCCAATTGATAATTTAAATATATAAAAAAAAAGAAAGCTATAGAAAATCTTACAGAGAGCAATGTTTTATTTTGCACACACATATTTTTTTTTAAAACACTTATACATGAGATCCCTGCAATGCCTCAAGTGCAATATACTGCAAAACATGATGTATGTTATACCTACATGTATATCTAATGGACTAGATCTGATCTTATAATCATATTTCCTTTCATTTCTTCAGAGACTACTGCAGAACATGAGCCTTGAGGATCACATACGCCTCACAGGTAGATTGTTGGAGAGGCAGCCGGGTCTGGTCTTTGATTTATTGATCGAGCATCAGCAAAGACATGGTGCCCCTACATCTGCGGAGGTTCCAGGGGTACCATGGTGTACCTGTAGCCACTGCAGAGACATGCCGACAGACAGGGAGCGGAAATGCTGTGGACAGGACCCTGCACACTGCGTGAGCCTCCTTCCACATTTTACACAATACTGCCTGGATGAGGGATATCTTCGGATACATAGACAGTACCGGGAGGATCTCACTGCTTTCGGAAATGTAAGGGAGCCTGGTGATGACAACCGAGAATACAGGCATGCAGCTTATAGACACTTTATTTTCTGGCAGCATGGCTCATTAGGACAGGGGAACAGGAGAGTCATTCCAAGCTGCTGTGTTTACAGGATTAGGGAAAAATTCCCAGACCCTCAGGCACAATACACTGGCTACATTCCAGGGATCTAAAAAAGTTTTGTAAATAGTAATATCGATTTATATATGTTGTATTCTTTGAAGTTCTGTTTACTTCACACTTTGTTATAAAGAATAAAATATTTGTTAATTTACTTTGTAATCTATTTTTTTCTAAAATCGGGATAGAGAAACATTTAAAAATGATGTGCAAAATGAATGATACACAAAAAACTTAAAATGAAGTTTGTTTGAAAATGCAAACATATATTTATTAATAAGTAGAATGATTTTTGATAATGTATTTACAACTCAAATATCAGTAAAACAACTCAATCTCAATCTGTCTCCAAGTTGGTAATAGCATGGAAGGTAGATCCTGTGAAAGACAAGTTCAATTAAATGTATACACAATTAAGAATCAGTATGTGACAAAATTAATGGGCTAAAATAAGGCCAAGTAGATGTTTGTCACTTACCCAGACCTCTGGTGACCTGTGTATGCATCAGCTCTGATGTTGATGGTGGCGGTATCGGTGGCACAACACCAAGACGCCTTGGGTCATCTGCTCTTAGGGACCTCTTTCGCGGCATCCCAATTCCACTTGTGACTCTCGCCTTCAAGATGCGTGCTTGTATCTCAGGGATGTAACCATATGATTTTGTACACTTCATGGTGTAAAGGCTATATCTTCTGGCATTTTTATTGTACTTCTTCCTATAACTTAAATTAACAAAAGACAATTGCTACAAGTCATTTAATCATTATGAGTAATAAACTTATAGATATTTCTCATATTTCTGAATACATAATTTAAAATGTGAAATTGCAATTATTTGAATATAACAAATTGTTGAGAGTTTGACATACACTTGTTGGCCCTCAGCCGTCCTGTATGCCGGTCGTTCCCGGTGGAAATTGTAGTCCAGGGCTGCGAGCACAACTCTCGTGTCATACACTCGGGGAGTGAAGGCCTGGCGCTTGCTGGCATACATCAGAATGTGATTCTGAAAAGACTCGAGATGTGCTGTCGATCTGGACAAATTAAAAAATAGATTTAGACTAAAAAACACACCCACACATGACTTGCGTATCATTTAGATTTCTTTTAAAATGTCATGTCTCCACGCTTTACCTGAAGCGCAGATACTTGTGGACATCCTTCTGCCAACGCTTGTTGAGGACGATCTCCACAAGCGCTTTATGGCTCTTTGAATCTCTCTCAATCCACTCTTTATCCTGAGTGTCTTCATGGTGGTCGTGTTGGCAGCTTCCTGTTTCCCAGGTGTGATTGTTGCAAACATGATGCAAAACTCCAATCCAAAGTGCCTGAGGAAAGTAAAACAATTAAACAAAAACATTATCATATCAAAGTTTTTTGACTCATTGCATTATTATCATTTATTTCTATTATAACATTCTTCCTGCTTACAAGAAACTGCTCAAATGTTTCTGCCGTCTTGCAGCACCACCAGAAATGGTTAACTATATCCCTCAGCCAGTGAAGGAGAATAGACTGTCCTTTCACCTTTCCCGCCTTATGGTAATTAACAAAACAGAGACAATGGAAGTTAGTCCTTGTAAATATTTTGATGGAGACCTGACATAACAAAATTATTACACCGACATGCAGGAAGGTACAAATCTTAATAAATGAAATTAGATGTATTAGAACTTACGGTTGCTATTTTTTTGCACAAATTTTTGGCACCATGCCACATGTCCAGGCTGTGGTGAATTTTCAGATCCTTATATTTTCCTTTATCTGGGTCTTTGAAGTATAGAATCATTTCTCAATCAGCAATTCAATATTTCTATTCAAATGTTTTATTATTTGACCACTTACTCAAAAGGGCTCCAATCTGGACATGAGCATCCGTGCAGAACTCCACTACCTTGATCTCTTGCGTAAGCTTGTCCACTGTCTGGATAAAACCCTCCTTCTCCATGATGTTGGAGTTCCAGTTGGTCTGCCGCTTGTCTATAGTGGCCACATGGATGATTTCCTTAGAGTCAAGCTCCATGGTTGTGTAGCTACAGTATTGGGCAGAATGCCCTGGTGAGTCATTTCTGCCATCACCTATAGAAAAAGGAAATACAGGTAATTTCAAAATACAAAACCTGTATGATAAAGTGATTGCAAAATTAGTTTAATTGTTTAATACCATAACAATTAATGGAGAACAAGTTCAAATATATAATTACCCACCTAGGAGCACAACATCTTTCCCTTTTAGTCGGCTGATGGATTCAGACCTCTTCTCTTCCCAAAAATCTTTAATAGTGTCAACACAGTAGGTGTCCTGGATGGTGTAGTGTGTGTTGGTGTTTACCATTTGTATGTTCATGAATTTAAATAGGAGAGCAACTTTAGTGTAGTTGTTTCCAGAAAGTAAAATGTTAGTGGAAAGAAGAAAGTCCCCAGCCTGCATGCCAAACTTCAACACAGGCTGTGAATTCCACCGCCATAGGCAATGTCCATTGGGGCAGATCTGGTAAGATAAGGGTAGCATTGTAAAATTAATAAGGCATAAACAGTGCCATTTGTTACGATACATTTTGATGTGATGTGAAAGGCTTACCCATTCAACACTCATCGCAGTGCCCCTGATGCCGATGTTTGTTGAAAATGGGGCAACACTGTCACACACTAAACCAGTCCTCAAGACACCAGTGCATCTGTTCACGGGAAGAGTTAAAAATGTGACAAGCTGCCTCAAGCAGTTCTCATAGAGCACAGCTGCTCTAACGCCAATAATGTCATCCTCACTGAGGACCTTCTGAGGGCCTGGCAAAATCGGCAGCTCGAGACTCAAGGGCTCATCGAGAGGGACTTCAGGGGCAGGCAGATCATGCACAGTCTCATCAATCCCAATAGTTGGCAGATTGTCAATTACCTGTGCTCCCTTCATTGCACCACCCATTCTGGAAGAGAAGAACTTCAGGGATCATACACAGTTCAATTGAATTATTTCCAAGTTTTTCCGGCATATAAACATGATCAAATTTATTACCTGAGACATCAGTGTGAACTAAAAGAATTCAAAAACATTCCAAAATAGCCCAAAACATTTTTTACATGTAAAAATTCAGCACATAAACAAAGTAAAAAGAAGTAATAGATAATGACTCACCGCAATGAAATTGTTGGAAGGTATTCCTCATCAGAGCTGTCGTCCAGGTAACCATGAAATGAGGGTCCTTCTTCTTCCAAATCAATCCTGTAAGATACAACAAACTGAAATGAATAAAAAAAAACTGAAAAAAAATATCTAATTATACAATAGAATAAAATCCCACTTACACACTGTTCATGGGGTCATTGAAGGCATTTTCATTCAACTCCTCTTCAACAATACTCATGTCATGCATACTATGAAAATAAATGATAATTTAAAGCATGTATTAGCTGAAAACATGCAACCAGATAGTATTGATATGGGACACAAAATTGACTGTTTATGGGTTACCTCTGTTCAAGGGTTTCAACTTCCGGTGCACTTTGTTGTTCAGCTCTAAAAGCAAAAATCATAAGACAATATGATGCATAGGTAGATACAAGTTTGATATGAAACTTGTATTTTAACAATTAAAAAATTATTTCAATTAAATGACTTACCCATCTGTCCCACTGGAAATGCTTGACAACGCTGGAGCATTTGCCACTTGAACACATTTTGCCTTGATGGGGGTTGATGTATTACCACTCAAAAGGGTACTCTCATAACTGCAAAAATCAGATGGGAAAATCAGATCATGGTTTATTGACCATTTATTCTTACATAAAAGGGACTTGACTCCAGCAGTTGTTGACCCTCTCCAATGTTCACAAATAAAACTATAGGCATAGGCTACATACAAAATTACTGTATGCGTCTGTATTATTCAATGCGAGGTCACAGTATAAATGATAAATAACATAAAATTTCAGATAACTAAAAACTTGAAATATCATTAGGTGTGCAAACAATGCAAAAACATTCATTATCTCTATATTCTTACTGAATTTTTAGGTTATAAAGAGTAAACTTACAAACCTTGTTTTTAGCACCTTCACAATAGCAGCGAGTAAAGTAGTCAATAGCTGCTATTCATCAAAGACCTTGTTTAACTTTTTTACCTATGTTATACTGTATATATAATAAAGTACACAACCAAGCAATGACAAAAAAATTAAGTAAGACTGTAACATTGACTAACCTGTCGAGGAGAAAGCAGGCAACTTCAGCGTCTCTTCTGAAATCTTTATGCTGCATTAGCTCTTTCCACCTTGAAAACGCGATCCCGATATTTACTCTCGTTTTTTGCAATCTCCGGTCACGTTTCCTTTTTCGTTCCAGTCTTGCCTTTTTTTGCGTGGAAGATGCATTCTCCTGTGACTCGGCATATGTATGGTCCGCCATTACAAATAATAGAGCAATCAGCAATCATAGGAGAGCAATTCAGGGAATGCGCCTCTCAATGTGACGTGACGCTGGCTCTGAGTCTGAACGAAAACGCGTTGTGGAAACGCGTTTGGCTGGTGGTACTTTTTGACCCTCTCTGCTATTATAGTTTTTCAAGATGGCGGAACGACATGGAAGCCTCCGTTAACCTACCCGTCCCATGTACATAAAGATAATAAATTCTTCATTTACGAGGATAAGTCAGATAATTTGCAGAGGTATTTGTACACCATTGAGGACATATTTATGAATAAAAATATTGATTTCTGATAATAAAATACCTAAAACTCTACACAGTGTCCCTTTAAACGTCATACAACTGACGCTTTACCTTTAACGTCGGTTAGGTGACGGGGTAGGTTTAGGTCTGGGGTAGGGTTAGGATCCGATAACGTCATCTAACCGACGTTTAAGGGTACCCTAAAAAGGCGGACGTTGAGGTATGGTCAAAAGACGTTGCAAGACGTCAGTTATATGACGTCTTGGGATGTCTTATACATTCATCACGACCAGACAACAAGTGATCAGCACAACAGTGGGAACTAATTCTATGTTTTCATTCTATTTGAATCTCATTGGTTGTCACATGTCAAGCGAACAGGCTTGAGCCTCCGATTACCACAATTTATGTGTCAGTTGATGAATGTTTATATGTGAATAAAAGCCTAAATTCAAGCTGTTTGTAATATAAAGCGATTGAGTCTCTTAAGAAAAAAACTAAACCGCTCAATTCATGTGGATTAGTTTTATGGTTCCTTTATGAACTTTTTGAATCGTCAAAGTTGGTAGTTACATAGCTGTCTAATTTCATCAAAAAGATATTCATTTATGTTTTGAACCAAAGTCTTAAAGGTTTGGAATGACATAAGGGTGAGTAATTAATGACAGGATTTTCATTTTGATTTTGAATTAACACTTTAATGGTTATTTATATTAAAATATATATATCATTAACGTAGTAAAATCGTGTGGAAATCATTTGACTTGTCATTGCAAAGACGGATTTTTTCACACATTTAATTTATGTATGAACTATCCTTTTAATGTTCTTTAACACAAGATGATGTAACCAGAAGTGAATTATGACTGACAGCTGTCAGATATCATTTATTTCCTGCCTATTGGCTTAAACAGTCAAAACAAGGAAACTGGTGTTATGGTTTGGCATCCTTTAGCAGAAGTCATTCTTGTGGAGAGGTAATGGCTCTGAATAGTCCCTTGGTTTTATGGGCAATCAGCTGTATAAATATGCTGAACGCATTCGACCATGACTGTCTCTACCTAATTTTCAGCATCTGAAAATATATCGATTATCCAGAGCACCGGTCAACAGAGGGTGAAGCTACCTGTTTGTCAACTGCATGTCAATAACTGCAGAAGCTGCTCTCCATCAACTGAATGTATATGAGCTGTTGCAGATGGTCATTTCATTTTCTTAGTTGCTGCCTGAATTATTTGATAATTATATTGTTAATAGCTGCAATTCCATTTTAAGATGTCGGTAACAATTTCCACTAAGGTTTTATTTTTTTTTAACATTAACTAAAATTAACAAATGCAAAAGAAGAGCAGATAACATGAACATATTTATTAGGTAACATTAACAAAGGTAATAAATGCTATATTGCTCAATACTAGTTTATGTCAGTTAATGCATTTCCTAATGTTAACAAATGAGACATTTATTGTAAAGTTTTATATATTTATATGTGTGTGTGTGTTTTGGAGATATCACATATATATATTTGAATGATACTCTCAATCAATATGTTTTTTTTTCTCCCTTTTTGTGTGTGTCGTGTCGACAAGTAAAATAAACCATATAAGAGTAAAATCAGCTGCTGAGAGCAGTTAATGTTATAGGAAATTGGTGAGTTTCACACTGTGCGAAGTGTTGGTGTCAAGTCCTTCTCTAGCCACACTTATTTGTTTATGTTGGGTTGACAGACATGCTTTTGACAAATGTAACAGCAGCCAAAAGTGTTGATTGATCACTAACAAATTCTACATGGTGTGAATTTCCTTAAACCGCACCTGCATATTTGTCAGTGTCTATTGAAAGGTGTAGTGGAGTAGCAGATAGTATTGTAGGCTATAATAGTAAAGGTGTTTTTGTCAAATTTGACTTTGTACCTGAGGAAGTAGTGTGAAAAATCTTGGCACCCTATTTCATCAGCCACAAATAAACATGGCTGATTGGAAACCATGAATACTTGAGGCCAAACCTGGGTTGTCTTTCGATTTGAGAATGCATGATTTTATAATGCAATTTTTTGGGGCTATAGAAAAAAATAATAATAATAATTTGCTGGCTTATTCTGGAAGGAAATACTTTTCAAGCTTTCAGGAGAATACATCCTGTAGATATCTCAATCTCAACAGAATAATTCTGATTTTGAGGGGTTTTAGGAGATGACAGTAGTTCCTCACAGTTATTATTTACTCACAGGAAATGTGAGGAAAATCTCATAAAATGATTTAGAAATAGAATGTGTGATATTTTACTTAATTGCAACCCTCAAGAAAGGTGGAATCTATTTTTAACTTAATGGAGTTCTAATGGTTGGAATTTACCAGGGCTTCAGTATGTGATTCTGGAATTTGTAGAATTAAACAGGCACATTTCATGTGACGAATAAGGTTCAGATTCACACATTTCTGCAAAATGCAAGTTACTGCTAAACTGCTAGTCTTTGCTTGTTGTTCTTGATTCTGTGACTGGCATATTTATGGTATGTTTACATATACGTTCCTATAATCCCTGGGACAAATTCTCTAAATTCAGCTCCACTGAAGCCCCAGCAAGTGGTCTGCTCAAATGGTCGAAAAGCAAGTCTGTGCGTTTAACTCATACATTACTCCAATAATGATCCAATAGTAGGCAGTAATGAAGTAAATAGCTTGGAGCTGCAACACCAGCGACCCTGCTGGGTTTTAAATGCAGTCCCTGGTCAGTGGTTCTGGTGACTGATTCCAGAGAGAATCAATAAGCCTCCTCTGAATGAATAAACATATTGACTGATCGTCTCTTTCTTAGCCTGCATTTACTCATTCATTAATCCATACCTACTGTTGAAATCATATTTCATTTCTGTTTTTTTTTTCTTTCAGGCAAGCAGATCCAGAGGTTGTCCTCAACCTTGAGAAAAAAGACTCCCTGTCTGTCTGTTATCTATAAAAGCTAAAGTTAAATTAGTCTTAAGAGGAATTTAGTATTGATTGCAGTTCAGCACACCCCTTGAGTTGCCTTGCTTATCTATTCCCATTTTTTTTTTTGATTGGCATTTAATTACTTTTTGCTTTCTTGTTGCATTCTCTCATTATCTCCCCTTCTCTGTCTCACTCTTTGTCTTTCTCAATAATTTCATCTAAATGCCCTTCAGTTGTTTATTTATTTCATATCTATTTATTTATTTTTTGCATGTGAAGAAACATGCCCTGCATATACTTGATGGCAATGAAGTGAGAAATAAGCTAATTGAAATGAGAGAAAAGACAGAAACACAAATGCAAACAGGGAATTAATTGTGAATTATTTGATAAGTTGAATTATTAACAGTAAATTTTGAAAGTATAGCATTTTTTTACTCAGTACAGCAATCCATTGACTAATAACAAAGACAATTTATATAGAGACATGCCACTTCCTAAATCCTCAATACAACACCAAAGATGGCGGTTGTATGCACATGCCCCTCCCATCCTGCTGGAAAGCCAATCGTCTGCTTTTAACAGTCAAACAGGGAAACATTTTAGCCTATCGTCTGGTTCCACTGATGCATGCACACAGTTAATGTCTGCGATAGGGGAGCCGAGAACCCTTGAACATACGTAAGTATAACCTGTGGGGAAAAGGGTTTTAAACCTTATTTTGGGGCAAAGTCATCAAACTTTTTCAGCAATTTTTTTTTTTACATATTTTACTGCTGTTTCTATACATGCAGTTTTTATGTTCCGGTAACCAGTGAAAGTGCGGTACTGACTCTTTGCTCATTCATTTAGATAAGAGCCTGGTCTTGTTAGTCTGAAATAGCTTCCCGGAGGCGTTGCCAATTAAGATGGCGGCCGAGTGGCACGTCTTGCCTAAAAGGACTTTGCTAATAATAATGATTGTACATTCTTTTGTTTCTGAAGCAGGATCCAAGTGCAGTGTAGTTTAATAAGCAAACTCAAAACTTCACAAATACAGGGAACAGAAACAAGGCTCAGGACAAAACAACCAAACACGCAATGATAACTGACCCAGAACAAGACTGAACACAGGATTCAAATACAGCTAAACAGATGAAGAAACAAGACACTGCTGACAAGACTAACGAGACACACCTGAACTGAACTAACAATGAAGTAACCATAGAAACAAACAGGCAGGGGGTGGAGGCAGACTAAACCGGGACAAATTACTGTAACTAAACAAAGAAAAGAAGAGAACTCAAAACAAACTGCACTTTACAATAATAGTACATAAATAATAATGTACTAATACCTGAATTAATAATTACTTTACTATGAACTAATGATGATTTACTGTAAGACATGTACTAATGAGGAACTTACCTTAACTACGACATGAGTCATATGAATTCCTGCATCAATAGTACATGCTTGTTAATTAATGCATTAATTTACATTTTGCGGGAAACTCAAACTTTCTCTAGAAAATGGACACATTTTCATTGATTTTAATTTTGAAAATTGCATCTGTTAATGAATATCTTAGTGTAGGTATTTCACTCTAGACAGATAGATAGATAGATAGATAGATAGATAGATAGATAGATAGATAGATAGATAGATAGATAGATAGATAGATAGATAGATAGATAGATAGATAGATAGATAGATAGATAGATAGATAGATAGAACCAATCTTAATTTAAGACAGGAGGTGAGAAAAAAAGGAGAAATCAATCAAATTGTGTTCTCTGTTTTCCTCCCTTCTTTTTCTCCTAAGCGCTAGAGGTGGAAAATGTAGTAGTTAAATATGATAGATTTATGTTTTAGACAAAATGTAGCCTTTGGTGCATCTGAATTATCTATGATGTGCATTAATATAAAAGTGCCTTGAGCGGTTACTATATTTCTCTTTCTGTTTAATGTTCTGGCTAGTCATTTTTCTAGAACTCAAGATGTCATGCT